CTGTTAACTGATTGGATCCTTTCTCAGAGGAGAAATACATCTGGGTACAAACCAGGTGCAGCCCAAAGGGAGGAAAGACACCAGTCATACGGCTTGGTACAGGTGTTTACCAAGGCTGAAAAAAAGGGCTAGAGGAGGGGATGTTGGGGGCTGAAAGAATTTTGCCATAGAAGGTAGGGGAAAGAAAAAGAAACCATCTCTTTAATTGGAACCAGGGCCCTTTCAAACCATTCCTCTTCTAACCTCTAAGCACAGTGTTTTAACCTCACAAAGCCTGTGTCTCTCCCCAAGCATCTCTTCTGCATCCATAAGAAGCTATGATTTTGGGGACCTTCTTATAAACAGCCCCCCTTCTAGTAACAGGCAGGCCTGGAATGAAGTTCCTTACACATGTGATCTTGCTCTTAACAACTCTGGAGGGATATTATTATCCCTATATGGCACAGAAGGAAACTAGGCTTAAAGGGGAAGGACTTGTCCTCATCATTAAGCTAGATTTACAACAAAATTCTGAGTCTGTACTCTGAAGCATCCAACTTGATCCCCTCTGATGAGACCTTTCTGGGAGACAGCCAGGTCAGGTCAAGCCCTTTGGTGGTTCTTCCTAGGTATTCCTGCCAGAAGCCCCTCCAGTTCTAGATATGTACACCAGCCACTACTCCCACCTCCACAGGTTTCTACCACAGAAATCCTCTTCCTAGCACATAGGTCTTGGGCAATCCTTAGCCAACTTTATCCCAAATCGACACTGAGGTCGTCCTCTCCAGGAGATCCCACTTCTGCCAAACAAGTTAATACCCTGTGTCAATCCCAACTCTTGCCTCTTTTCACAGAAACATCACAAACACTGGATGCCAGATTCCTTTCTACTTGCTCCTTAGTCTCTCTAATCCTATTCCCTAGTCCTGCTAGAAAGTTGCCCTTTTATACCACCAAATTCATTCTCCTCTTTTCTGTACTATGGTCTATTCAAGATAGCTGCAGACCATCTACCCCTAAGCCCTCTCAGTCCCATAATCATCCTCCTGGCTGCTGAAGTATTCCACAACTCCCTAATAAACAACGGGGGGTGGGGTGGGGTGGGGCAGGGCGGCGGCAACTAAGTAATTGCTTTTAGGGACCAGGAGCCTCCTCTTGGAGATATTCAGCCCAAGAAACACTTCCCACTCCACCCTGGGGCCGCCAGCCAAGTCAACAGGTTTCCTTTCTTTTTTCACACCCTACATGCTTCTCCCTCCTCCACATCTGCTAGACCAGTCACACTCTTTCCTTGCTGGGCACAAGCAGTATCTCCCACACGTTTCAACTACTTCAAATTCTGGCCCCACCCGGGTACCCCTGTTCTGTCCACAGCTAATGCAATAAAAAATCTGAAGTAGCTACGGATCTGTACTCAGAGCCTTCTTTGCTCTAGAACCCCAGGTTCTTTGTCCAGCGAAACATCCTTCCCTCCCCTGCCAGAGTCCAGGCATCAAAGTTCCCTGTAATTCCTCTAGAGGCCACCGAGAAGGTTCCCAGATCTCCCAACACCAAATACTGAAGCTGCACCTGCCTCAAGGTTGGCCTTCCAGCCCTGGAAGAGAGATGTGAATCCCCCATAGTTCAATCACATGCTAGTCACCCACAACCCCTAAATGCTAACCAGCAAAACCAGACTGCCCAGCTAAGAACACCACACCAGCGCCTGCACCTTACCAACGCACTTCCAAACCTTACATGAGAATTCCCAGTACTCCATCCAGCCACAAACTCCAGGATCCTTCATCCTCAAAATTCTCACCCCCGGACCTCTAGTTGTTCCTTCCCTAACCCCGGAAACACGGCTATCAACTCCCAGCCAACGCTGGGGTGCACGGCCACCAAATCCACCCAGCTTGAGATGTAGGATCATCATTTCCAAGACCCCCTCCCAGACCCCAAATAAAAAGCCTCTCGTTCTTCCGACTTTCTCTGGTTCCCAAACCCCGGTTTCTGGTCTCCGAGTCCCAGGGTCCATAATCCTCCCTATCCGCTCGCACCCTTGCCTGGTCCGACAGCGAGAGTCCCCACCCGTAGTATCTCCCCTGCACCGGATGCCAGGAGCCCCCCCCCCCCCGCGTCTTTCCGAGGCCCTAGTGCCCAGACCTTTTGCAGCGATGGGTCGCGGGACCCAAGATCCTCAGACCAGGACCCGACCTCTGGCGCCAAACTCCCGCGTCCCACAGCCCTACCTCGGCCCAGACGCCGGGCTCCCCAGCCCCCCCCCTCCCCCGCGCACTCTCACAATGTCCGTCCGGCCCCGAGTAGCCGCCGGGCTCCGGGTGCGGCTGCAGCCCGGGCGGCGGTGGCTGCGCGGTCCCCTCCAGTTCGGAGCCCCCCTCAGTCTCGACCTCCTCGTTGTTGTGCCCGGGTTGCCCCGGTTCGTCGTCGGCCTCGAGTTCCCGCTCGTCGTCGGGCTCCTCGGCCTCCAGCGCAGCCTGCAGCCGCTCAGCAAGCTCGGCCTTCAGGCCGCGAGTGTCCAGGCCGCGGCGCTGCAGCTCCTCGCGAAGTTCGTTCACCTTCAGACGGCGCACATCCATGGCCTGGGCCCCCGGGGCCGCCCCCGAGCCCGGCCCGGCCTCCCAGGGCTGTTTCACTTAAACCTTTCCCGACTAGAGGCACGGGGGAAAGGGGGGGGGGCACACTCCAATGGCGGCGGCGGCGGCTTAAAATGGCCGCCACCTCCCCCTTCCTCGGGCATCGTACCATGCAACACGGGTGCCAATTGGGCAGCGTGGGGAGCAACGGGAAAGGGCTCGGAAATTCAGCCAATCAGAGCACGGCTTTCAAAAGGACAGTGGAGAGGGCCCGGGAGCTGCCGGAGAGGAAGCGTTGGTCTACGTCGAACTAGAGCCGGAGCAGAGGGCGGGAAAAGGCAAGAGGCGGAGCGCGTGCTGATTGGATTATGCTCGCGCGCCAGCTGCTGTAGGATCAAATGAAGAAAAAGGAGTAATGATTTGGACCAATCAGCGATGAGATATCAGAAGGAGCGCTCCACGGCCTTTCCTGCGCCGTCCTTTCATCAAACTAATTTTCCCTGTAACACACCTCCTGATTTGCCTAGATCTCCCGCCCCTTGAGGAGTCCCAGCGGGTATAAGCACCAGAACCAATCAAATGGGTAGTCGACAGAAACCCTTCCTTCCTGTTGCCTTTAAGAAACCGGAAAGAGACGAATTTACGGAGGGCCCGCCTCTGCCGTTAGGGCAGTTTCAAAACAATCCGTCCACCAATCGTAGTGAAAGTTTTATCTCCCCAAAGTTGGTATAGATTGATGGCTTCAGGAAAAGCTAATCAGATTGGCCGTTCTTCAGAGGACTGCCTCACAAATTTTGCTGTAGAGGGAGGTATACGACGGAATAGAGATTAAGTAGATATTATTACTCATAATCTGTTAGGAACTCCGCTGCCTTTATGAAAAGCGAAAATTTAACTTTAGAGAGTCCTAAAGGGTTGAAAACAGAGGCTAGACTAACAACGGAGAAAAGCTGAAAGGAAACTGCCCCCCCCCCTCCGGGTAGTACACCTCTCAGGGCGGCTCTTCCCACGACACTAGCTTCGCTGCCGTCTTTCTCTATGGTCGTTTCCTAACGCGGACTGGGTGCTCTGCACGCGATCATAGAGCTTTCCCCCCTATGAAAGAGCGTCAGAAGTTCGCAGATTCACTCCGAATCGTCTAAACTGCGTTCAGTAGTAGATCTTGCTGATTAGTGTCTATACAGACAAGCTCAAACACACAGATTCGTAATTACATCTCACGCGAGTACACACAAACGTCATAATGTCTAACCCTGCACCACCTGTCGCCTCTAACTCAGAAGACAACTTCTTTTAGATATACAATCGAAATACACAATGCAGGGCTGTGAGGTGGGTAGCTCAGTGGTAGAGCACCTGCCTAGCACGCACGAGGGCCCTAGGTTCCATCCAGGCACTGCCAAAAACAAAAAAACAACAAACAAAAAAACCAATGCAAAGGCCCCCTGCCTATTGAGCCATACATTAAGTTCACAAAAAGGTGAATACAACCTCTGCTTAGACAAAGGAGCACACCACAGAAATACAATAGGGTTAAAATCAGATCAGATGCAGAAATTGGGATAATACTCGAAACTGCAGCGAGATGTGCCCGCTAACGCCCGCACAGGCAGGCAGCATCGAATGACAAAGGCACGCAGGACAGTTACACTACAAGCTTCCACGACAGTAACCTAAACACACAGCATCCACTCAGCAACGGGACAGACACTCACGTGGGCCCGGAGGTTCCAGTCCAGACAGCCCGCCCCTCGCCCACGTCCGACTTCCTCTCTCCTCCCAGCTCGACACAAAGATCTGTTCTAAAAAAGTTTGGCCCGGATTGAACTGTCCCAGGTTCTCGGGGGCCGCCACCGGGGGGCGTCCGGGCGCTGCCGAGGATTCTTCCATCCAATGCCGGACACACCCAGGAACAAGTGAGAATGCGTGGGGACCCTTTGTGGCTCTGTAGGTTGAGGGGCTCTGTGCCTGTTTCTGCGTGAGTCTGAACGTTTGTGTGTGTGAAGACCTGTTGTATGCTATGTCTCTGAGTGTGTGTTATTTTATCATGTATCCCTGTCAGATCTCTTCCTACTCCTGGCAGGTATCTTGTTTGTATGTTTGTAAATATGTGTGTCTATGTGGTTTTATGTGCCCCTGTTACTCTATGTGTTCCAATTTCTATGTCTTTGTTCTTGTGGCCAGATGTGCCTGAGCATGTGCATTAATTCATGTGTCTTGTTACTTTTTGGTGTGACCCTGTGAATATCTATCTACCTATTCCTGACTAGAGTTTTCTCAGAGCCTGAATTTCTTTCCTTGTTTTTGTCTATTTGTATGCTAATTTTTACTCTCTCTGGTGAGAATTCCCAGACCCCACCAAACCCCCTTCTTTTACTAATAGGAAACCAAGTTGCCAGGGAGAGGAGCCGTAATGCAGCTGAATGGAGACAAGAGGAGACACAATAGTGATTGACAAAATTTTATGTGACCAGAGCCCCTCTAGAGGCACTAGAGTCCACATTCTGTACAGGGAGGATGAGGGACTGGCTCAAGAGGGCAGCATGGCCCAAAGGAGGGAGATGGTCCATTCCCTGGGGGAAAGGAGGCATCCCTAATTGCATTGCACAGACTTGAGGGGGGCACACCCCCACATGAGGGGAGGAGGAAGCATAGGTGGCTAAGAAGGGAACCAATCCTAACCTTTCGGTTAGAACCTTGAAATTGTACCTACTGTTCTAGACAAGTAGAATCTTAGAAATTTAGAACATTTACTTCTTAAGCTTCTAGTGTCTAGAAATGTGTACTTTTGGACCTTTAATTATAATCCTAGAAACGAAGAGTACAGCATAGAACCTAGAGGTGTCCAACATTAGAAATGATTAGAACTTTGGTGTCTAATTAGTCACAGTTAAGTGAGAGTCTTATAACTTAGATGCTTGGGATCCAAAATCATGGGTCAGTGGAATCTTACAGTGCCTTGAAACATTAAACAGGCCAACATTAGAATCTTAGAGTTTAATAATGTAGACTCTTGGGGCACGTGACTTAGAATTTTAGAGAATCTAGGTTCTTGGATTAAGTTTTAGAATAAACATTTTAGAACATTAGATCTTGGAATCTCCATCTTTAGACTCTTAGAACTTCTGAATTGCAGATTGTAGAATCTTAGACCTTTCAGATCCAAGGTCTCAAACAAAAGAATCTATGATCAGAGAGCCTCAGAAACTACAATTGACCATCATTAGGATCTTAGAATTTGAGAAAATGAAAATTTGAAGGCTTATGATCAGTTTCTTACAACCAAGATATCTAGATTCAAAGCCTTTGACCATCAAATTTTAGAACAGTAGGCCTTAGAACCTCCATGTCTAGAATTATAGAGCTTTAGAATTGTAGAATCTAGAGTCTTATGCCCTAAGAACTCAGAACTCTTGAAAACTAAATTCTAGACTCATAGAGTCTTAAATCCTAGAACTAGAATCTTTAGCTTTAAACCTAGAATCTTGGGCCCTTATCAAGAATCTTAGCACACCTATAGTCCCAGCTACTTGGGAGGCTGAGGTGGGAGGGTCACTTGAGCCCAGGAATTCCAGACTAGTGCTGGGTAACATAGCACGATGCTTTCTTTAAAAAAAGGAAAGAAAAGAAAAGAAACATAGCACTTTAGAATTAGAGACTGGAATTTCAGGCCCTTTGAACCAAAGATTCACAGCAACTTTGAGACCTAGAATTTTTGATATAGACTGTTTAGGCCTTACAATTTAGAATTTATTTTTGTGCCGGGGATCGAACTCAGGACCTTGTGCTTGCCAGGTAGGTGTGGTGCCACTGAGCTACATCCCTGGCCACAATCTAGAATTTCTGAATGTTAGATCTGGGAGGACCGTTAGCTATTACACTCCAATCATGTCTTTGCTTTGAGACAAAGTCTGGTTATATAACCCAGGGTGGCCTTGAACTTGGCAATCCTTCTGCCTTGGCCTCCCGAGTGCTAGAATTACAGGTCTGCACCATCATGCTTTGTGCAGCAACTTCTTATTATGGAGGAGGATGCTGTGATGCAGAGAAAGGGAAAGTTCTGTCTGGGATGGATGTAGGAAGGGTAGGAAGATAAGGCTGTAGCTGGGGATAGGCCTGGAGTGGGAAAGTTGGGGGGTGAGGTTTCCCCAGTGGCAGTGCCTAGCTTGGATCCTGAGAGGGAGTCCCAGGTGGAGGGTTGTCTCAGGCTACATCCTCCAGCCCTGGGGGTGCTGGGAAGGCCCTGTCAGCAGGCAGAGTGGGGGCAGGGGCTGTAGAAGGGCAAAGGACATATCGTCCAGCAGGATGAACCTCAGCTGCAGTGAGGCAGCTACAGGAATCCTTAGGGTCAGGCTGGGTTGGGGGGTCAGCTCCTCCAGCAGCTCCAGGGGGCTCAGGATAACCTCTGCCCTCATCCATGTTGACATAGAGGATTTCGTCCGGCTCCTGGGTAGGAGGCAAGGTCTTCAGTGTATTCTCTAGGTCTTCCCGCAGCTCAGTAAAACTTGGCCGGTCTCGGGGGTTCAGCTCCCAACACTGGGACATCAGGACATACCTAGGGCAACAAAATGAAGAGTGGGAGACTGAGTAGGGCCTCAGTAGGGAGCACTCTGGAAGTTGGGGGATATTTTAGGACATTTGGAGGTTGGGGGTTGGAGGGAACCCCAGCAATTGGAGGCATCTAGGAGATTTAGTTATTCTCAAAGTTTCTGAAGGGAGCTAGGAAGGGCTGTCTGAATCAGGGGTGCTGTAACGAGGGTTGGTTAGAGCAGAGCTTCCCAGAGTGACCTCCAGAACTAATGCTAGCATCAAAACATCAAAGCTAGCATTAAAGCCAGGCTTTAAGATATGTCCATAAAGATATTTTTGCTTTTTGTTGTTTTTTGTTTGTTTGTTTTTGAGACAGGGTCACTCTAAGTTGTCCAGGCTGGCATTGAACTTGCAATCCTCCTGTGTCAGTCTCTTCAGTGCTGGGATTACAGGCATGTGCCACCATCCCTAACTATTCCATAAAGTTGCTGATGCTCCTCCCTTCAAAAGATGAAGACTAAGGCCCCTCTCTTTTGTGTGGGCAGAACTTTGTGTCAGTAGAAGTGAAGGTGTGCATGATTCTGAGGGTAGGTCATAAAAGCCATTGCAGCTTCCTCCTCCCATTTTATCTGGGTTCGCCATGCTGTGGGGAAGCTCAAGCAGTGCTACAGAGGGGTCTACGTGGTGAGGGGCTTCCAGCCTCAGCCATGGGAGTGCGCCACTTTGAAAGTGATCTCCCAGCCTCAGATCTTCAGATGACTGAAGCCCATCTGACATCTTGACTGTCATCTCATTAGAGACCCCTGAGCCAGAATTACCCCACTAAGTGGTTTCCAGACTCCTGACTTTCTGAAACTGTATGAGAAAATAAATGTTTGCTGTTTTAAGCTTCTAGATTTGGGAGTATAGATAACTAACACAGCAACTGTGCAATCTTTGTCGAGTCACTCATCCTCACTATAGGCATCTGGAAAATGGGGATAATAATGACATGTATATATTCTTGTGATTGTGGTAAGGATCAAATGAGTTATATACAAAGCACCTAAAAAAACTGTCTTTCAGTGAGTTCTATAAAATATCAGCTATAAAGGTGGGCATGATGGCACATGCTTGTAATCCCAGGATCTCATGTTCGAGCCCAGCCTAGACAACTTAGTGACTTAGTGAGATCCTGTTTCAAAATAAAAAATAGAAAGGGCTGGGGCCATAGCTCAATGTGAAGCCCCTGGGTTCAAGCTTCACCCCCCCACACACATACACACACACCACCAACGACAAAAGAACAAAAACAAAAACCATACATATAGACTATTACTCCTGCTCCCCTCAGCCCTTAGAGTAACCAAGGGGACATGAGGAGACTGAAGCCCAGGCTCTCTCCTCTTGACCTGAGTAACAGTCTCTCTTTACCCTCAAAGGGCTGGCTAAATGTCATGCCCTTCTCTGCATGCTGTGATACAGCAAAGGTTGATAATCTCATCCTAAAGATTTCCTGCAGACAGCTCAGAGGAGACCTGAGAGTCTGGAGAAGATCAGGAGAGCAGATGGGAAGGTTTTGCAGTGAGTCCAGAGTGTTGAGGCACATCAAGGGAATGTGTGGGATGATCAGGGGTCTGGAATGAATTAGAAGTCTCCCAGACTGGGGACCTCAGAGGCAGGACCACCAGGAAAGGTTATGCAGCTGTTTGTTCACTGCCCATGGGTACCTAGCTAAGGAGGGAGGGGACAGATCTAGCCTGCATTGCACACAGGACAAAGCAGGACAGGTCTTCATTAGCTAATTGCACCCTGTGGGCTGCCCACGAATGGTCCTACTGGGAGCACTGGTGAAGGGGCAAGTGGCCTGCTGAACATTCTAAGGGATTCCATGCAATGTCCTGGAGATGTGAGGGCCATGTGTGGGTGCTTAGGACTTTGCAGGTGGATTCTGGAGTGGGGAGGCAGGTTTGAAAGGTCCTTACAGGCCATCGAGACAGTCCACAGGCTGCTTCAGGCGATTCCCCTGGCGCAGGTAGTCATAAATCTCACTGTTCTCCACTCCAGGATATGGTGTTTGGCCCCTTGTGGCAATCTCCCACATTGTCACCCCGAAGGACCACTGTGAGGAACAGAGTGGGAGAATCAGAGCCGCTCCTACTCAAAGACACCCCCACCACAAGTTCACGGGGACACTCACACTCTGGTGCATGTGCGCACAGACATCCCTGTGGGTACATCACAGGTGTTCATAGAAATAGCTTGGCACAGGGACACACACATATGGGTGACCTTTGTGGATGCATAGACACAAGCATCCATGAACACATTCACACACTTCATGGACACCTGATCTCATGTGTCCCCCTCCATGCCGGCTGCATACAATGTACAAGTGTGGGCACGTGCATGCATGGTCACCACTGCTTCTCCTAACTCAGACTGTTCACACTGCCACCATGCACACAAGTCTGTAGACATCCCTGGCATATACACACCACTGTTCATGCCCACCATGTCTCCAGATGTGCCCAGACCACACAGTTTCCTCCTCAGAGAACCCCACGTGTTTCTGGGAGCCCTGCACCTGCAGCCGCCTGGGAATGGTGTGAGATAGGCCACCTCCCACTCTCACAGCTCCCTGTTCTTGGCGGAAGTGTATGTACCACATCACTCTTGCTAGTGTAGACTCGGTCAGCAAGGCTCTCAATGGCGATCCACTTGACTGGCATCTTGGCAATGCGACCCTGGCGGTAGTAGTCCCCATTGTAGATCTTCTTGGACAGCCCAAAGTCCGCCACACACACAGACATGTTCTCATTCAGCCTGCCCATATTGGGGGAGGAACAAGATCAGGGCATTAGTAAGCCTCCCCCAGGAAGCCTGCCCTGGCTCTCAGATGCACTTCCACCTCCTGCCCTCACCATCCTCCTTGGGGCTGGGGAGCTATTCCTCACACCCTTTCCCAGTCCCAGAAGGAACTGCTTTACTTCTTGTTCCCTCTGTAAGATGAGGATGGGACAAAGGGCTTCTAACAGCCTTCCCAGCTGTGGCTTTTTGGCAGATTCTAAGGTCATTCCTAGTCTCCTTGGGTTTAATTCTCTGATTTGTAAAAAGTTTCCTTGAACTATATGATACATATACACTTTATGTGTACTACATATATTATATATGTATATTAATGTGCACAGATCATAAAAGAATTTTAATTTTCACAAACATACCCATGTATCCTGAACCCAAATTAGGAAATACATCTTAAGGACTTTCTACTTTTTCTACTTTTCTTTTTTTAATACATCTTGTAAGACTTCCTACAAGACTACTGGCCTTGGTTCATCCAAAAGAATATGCTATAAAAATATAAAAAGGTGGTTTTGGTAGGAGGGCTACTCTAGATTAAAATAGGCAGAAGGGGTATAATGACTGAGTGCAATTTGGAAATCTTCATTAGATCTTGCTTGGTTCAGGGGAAAATTTAGCTATAAAAGAGGACAACTGGAAGAATTTGAATGTGGATTGGATTATGTTATACAATCATTACTAATCTTCCTGGGTGTGATAAAGGAATTGTGATAAAGTAGAAGAAAGTCCTTATTCTTGGGAGCTGCCTAGTTAAGATTTAGGGGTGCAGTGACCATTCATTGGATCCTCGATTGGTTACTCCTGAAATCAGAAGGGCTTCTGTAGAAAGATTTTAAGTCAAACTATCTATGCACCTATCAAGAAGAGAGAGAAAGGGGCCGGGGATTTAGCTCAGTGGTTCCACCGCCTGCCTCACAAGCGCAAGGTCCTGAGTTCGATCTCCGGTACCAAAAAAAAAAACAAAAGAAGAAGGAAAGGATGATCTCAAATAACGGCAGGGAAATGCTTCAGCAATCCTAACCTACTCTGGCTTGTCAACTGTTTTCTCATCTAAAGCAATAGCAGACTTAACTGTAATCTCTCCTACTTTGTAAAATCCCAATTGTGGAATTATCGAATTCTGATGATGATATTAATTTGAAATAACCAAAGACACATATGCAAGCAGAAGGCTCTATTTTAACAATTGAATGACAGGAATTTTTAAAAGGAAAGAGAACCTACAGCTTCATTTTGGAATCTTTCCCACCAGATAAGGGCTTTCCCCCTTATCATGTAAGGAGCCAGATAAATTAGAAGACATGAAAAGAGGCAACTGGAGACCTCAATCTTCCATGTACTCCATAAACCTTTTTTGAACTTAATCATAACACTGTCACATTGCCATGATCTCACTAAAGGATTTCTATTTGCTGTTAGTTAAAAATAAAGCCCTGATGGGCAGGGGATTTAGCTCAGTGGTTTTGATGCCTGCTTCGAAACCGCAAGCAAGGACCTGAGTTCGATCCCCAGTACCAAAAATAAATAAATAAATAAGGCCCTGATACATTTTTATTTTTTAAAAACATGCAAGCAAACAAAGATTTCGGGATGAAATGTCACGATTCCAGTAACTTACTTGCAAATGGCTGAGGGAAGAGAGGAAGACAGAAGAGAACTGTGACAAAATGTCAACAAGGGTGCTCAGTGTATGATTCTCTCAACTTCTTTAGCACTGGAATTTCTCAAAATAAAAAGTTGGGAGAAAAGGACATTTCCATTTCTATATTATTGAGAGTTGTGAACACTGTGCTGTTGTAGAAGATGCGCTGATTTTCCAGCTGTGGTTTCTATGAATCTGACATGGTCACGAGACTGATTTTTTTTTGTACTGGGGATTGAACCTATGACTTTTGCACTGAGCGACATCCCCAAACCTTTTTTTATTTTGAGACAGGGTCTCATTAAGTCACTAAGTTGCCCAGGCTGGGCTCAACTTGCAATCCTCCTGCCTCAGCTTCCCAGAGTGCTGGGATTACAGGTGTGTGCCACAGAATTAATATCTAAACATGTGGTTCCACTCCCCCCATCCTCCTCTTAACCCTGTCTCAGTAAGGCAAGGCACTCAGCATGGAGCAGACAGAGATGAGGCTCACATGTTACCACCCTGTCAGTCACCTTTGCCCCTCTGCTCACCTCTTAGGGTGCACTGAGATAAGCCCCAGCCCATCTCTTCTCCCTCCACATCCAAATACTCCTTCAAGATCTCAGTGCAGGCCCCCTTCTCTAGAAAGCCTTCTCAGCCTCCCAGTCCTGGCTTCTGACCTCCCCTTGGGGGTCCAGCTTCCCTATCACCCTGGGAAGGCGGAAGGATTGCTAAAAGTCTTGGCACTCACATGCAGTTCCTGGCAGCCAGGTCCCGGTGTATGAATCTCTTAGTACTCAGGTACTCCATGCCACTGGCGATGTCTGTCATGAACTTTACCAGCATCTGAGTGGGGAGGAACTGGGGGCCAAAGCAGGGAGGAGTAAAGGTCAGCAGAATTCCCAAGGTCCATCCCTCCTCATTCTCCCTTCCCTTCCTGTGCATGTCTAGTTCTGCCTGCAGTGATTTCCTGTGATACTGAGAATTAAATCTACTCCTTTCCGCAGCCTATAAGGCCTTATATAATCTACTCTTGCCTTTCTCTCTGACTGATCTCCTACTGCTCTTGCCCTTGACATACATTCCAGCCAGGAGCCTCCTTTCTGGTCTTCAGACAGCCACCCTCATTTCCACTTCTGAGCCTTTGCTTATGCTGCGACCTTGGCTGGGATTGTGTCCTGTCTGGGTTCCAACATCCCACCAGCTGGCTCCTCCTTCAAGGTCACCTCCTCAGTGAGGCCTTCCCTGTTCACCCAAACTAATTTCTCTGCCTCCTTATCATTCATCCTACATTTCCTTCCCAGCACTTAAGTGACCTTGTTTATGTATTTGTCAGCTTGTTTATCGCCTGGTCCCTCTGCTGTAAGACAGGGTCCATGAGAACAAGCTTAGGGTCCCCAGGATCTTCCCAGAGTCTGAGCTGGATACCTGATATATGCTCATTCAGTACTTGTGGACCTATGATTATGCGCCTCACCACTGGCTGGTCCCCGAGCCGGGAGTAGAGGAGGAAACTGTGTAGGTCTCCATGCTTCATGAACGGTAAGATGACCACTGGTGCTGGGAACCCCTCTCTTTCAGAACCCTGGAAGCAGACACCTGAAACCCCAGGCAGCCATGTCATACCCAGCTACGAAGAAGGGAAGCCAAGCCCCCTCCCTCCTGGCCAGACTTAGCCTCTCTTCAGGCCTCCCCTTCAAATCTGGCTTTCACATAGTGGGGGGTGGGTGGCAAGGGCGGAGCTTAGAGAAGCTGTTTCTAGCAGACTTCCCAGGGATGTTTCCGGAGCCCTCCTGGGGACCTCAGCTATTTCTGGGAATGGTCAGAGGTCGCATTCCAAGTTGAGGGAGAAGAGGAGGAGAAACTTGCTGATCTTGAAGAAGAGGGGAGCAGGGAGCCTGAATGTTTGATCTTCCCAGTGCTGCAAGAAGGGGTCTTCCCTCTGGTGTGGCCCCAAGGGAATCCGACCCTCTCTCACCAATGAGTCTCATGACGTTGGGGTGGTCGAATTCCTTCATGCAGACAGCTTCACTCAGGAAGTCTTCCAGCTCTGATCTCGTGCAGATGGCAACTTGGGAGAAAGAGGAAGGCAGGCAAAGAGGAAGGGAGGGGAGGGAGGATGCTTTTCCTTCTCCTCTTCCTCTCTCTCACTGCCATCATCGTTAAACATGATTAGTAAGCTGGTCATTGTGGTGCACACTTATAATCCCAGCACTCTGGGAGGCTAAAGCACAACTTAATGAGACCCTGTCTCAAAATAAAAAACTCAGTGCCACGGCCCCAAATTCAATCCCCGAAAAAACAAACAAAAAAATTAGTAAATACCAGCTGCTATACTTTAGAGCTTTACCTAAATTAACGCATGTAATCATCTAAGGTGCTTCAATTCTGAGCCCTTTTATTTATTTATTTATTTGTGGTTTTTTGAGACAGGGTCTCACTATGCAGTTCAGGCTGGCCTTGAACTCGTGGTGATCCTCTTGCCTCAGCCTCCTGAGTGCTGGGATTACAGACATGGGCCACCATACCTAGCTATGAGCCCTATATTAAAAATGAGGAAATTGTGGGGGATTTAGCTCAGTGGTTCTGCTGCCTGCCTTGCAAACACAAGGTCCCGAGTTTGATCCCCAGTACAAATAAAAAAAAAAATTGAGGAAACCAAGGCACAGAAGAGTCAACGAAACTACTTAAGGGCACACATGCTCGCAGATGAATAGGCAGAGCTGAAACCAGGCCATCTGACTCTGGGGGCCATGTGCTCACTCTCATGTTGGCTGCTTCCCAGCACTTTTGCAATAACTCTTGGTACCCAGATGATAATTATGATCCCATTTGACAGTTCAGGACACTGATTCATAGAGTCAAAGTGACCTGCTTGGGGTCGTATGACTGGGCTTAAAACCTGGGCCAAGAACATAACCTGGAACACAAGAGGTACTGAATGATGACTCCACAGCCCAGAGTTATTTTTATTTTCTTTATTTTGGGCAGGGTCTTCCCCAGTAGCTAAGTTGCTCATGTTGGTCTTGAACTTGCCATCCTCCTGCCTCAGCCTCCCAGAATGCTGGGATTAAAGGCCTGCACCACCACAGCCTGGCTAAGCCCAGCCATGTAATTCAGAAAGCATCTCGTCTCTCACCTCCAGCCCCAGCCTGAACCTCTTATACTTCAACTTCCCATATAGAAAGGACTTGGCCCTTTCTGTGCTGTGTGACTCTGGACTGGCTCCCACCCTCTGTGATGATACACATAGTGTAGCAGTAGTTCACATTAGCTTCATCTCTGGCATTAAGTGCTTTGCCTCACAAGAGCCCTAGGAGGTAGGGACGTTAGGAGCACTTTTTCCAGATGAGGCTCGGAGGGAGAGTCACTTGCTTGAGCTCCCATAACCAGTAAATGAGGCCAGATGTGCCTCATTTTGGACCTACCCCTGCTCTGTTATGTATTTCAAGGGGTTGGCTCTTGAAAACTACATTTCCCAGCCTCCCTTCCCTAATGGTTTCCTTTTGGAGTTTGCCAGTGGTAGGCAATATGAGAGGCTGGCAGGTGGAAGGGAGGAGAGGAGAAACCAGTGTATTTCACCCCTTTTCTGCTTCTGCAATTGTCTTGGTGTGGCTGAATATCCCCTGTGTTTCTAACTCCCACAAGGAGCCTCTAACTCTCTGTTCCTAACTTCCGCCAAGTGTCCCCGGCCATGGGAACTCTAATTCCTTCCTCTTTCCTGCAGGCCTAGGGGTGGCAAGGACTTCCTACTGCTGCTAACTTACAAGTTCACACTGTTCTGGTTGTTCCTTCAGTCTTTTCTCCACCATGGCACTAATGCCCCCATATTCAATTCCTTCCATTGAAGTACCTGGGCTCTATTTACCAGCTGGAAACACTGGCATTCTATACTATGGCCAATTTGCCACTAACTTTTCTGCTCACCTGCCTTTCTGGGGCACAGGGAAGGGGCCGGGGGTCCTACATGTGTATGCACATGCATAGACTCACTCTTCATTGTCTTCACAGCCACCTTGAGGATGGAGTCGTCCTGGTTCAGCTGGCCCTCCATCACAGCTCCAAACTCTCCTGTAGAGGGCAGAAGGGAGACTCTGACTTGGGGGATGGGCATCCCAACTGTAATTCCATAGTTGGATGGGGGTGGGGAAGTGAAGGACCTCAGAGTTCAGGAGGATATGTGTGTTTGCTGGAGAACTCACCTTCTCCCAGTGTCTTCCCCAGGGCCACCTTGTGCCGGTCCACCATCACGTCCCGCAGCTTTTCCTTCAGCTCTTCACTGATGCCCAGGCTGTTCACTGCAGGGGGTGTGAACAGAACCATGGCTCAGGGTTGACATTCAGGTGACACTCAGCAACAGTGATATATCCATTGTTGAAACACTGAACTACTTCTGCATTGGTCCAAAATTAGCTACTTCCCTGAACATCCTAGCACCCCAACCTTAGCTCCTCCTCTGGAGCCCCAATCTTCCCCCACAGTAATAACTACAGGGTTAAAGCCTGGCCACAGTCTTGCACCTGTGTGCACTCTGACTGGTCAGTGCCTTGCTGTACCAGTGAAATGTTTAAGGAGGTGGAAATGCTAAGTACCTTGATTTGATCATTATACATTGTATACATGTATCTAATTGTTCCCCTGTATTCCATAAATATGTGTAATCATTATGGGTCAATTATGAAATAAATAAACAAATCCTCATATAAAGGGCAGCATAGCAGACATTATATTCAACCAAAATTTATAAGACATGAAAATATTACACTCATATTAAAAATTATTTTTAAAATTATTTCTTATTGAAGTGTAACCTGCACAAATGGTGAGCAGCTCAGGGGATTTCCACAAATCCATTGTAAAACTAGCATCCAGGTCAATAGCAGCACATGACCTAAGAGGAATAGCCACTGTCTTGACCTATCTTCCAATAGGTTAGTTTTCTGTTTTGAACATTATAGAAATAGAACCATAGAGCATGTTTTCTCTTGTGCCTGGTTTTTCCTACTCAGCAGTGTGTCTATGAGATAGTTGCCATATAGTTGTGATATATGATGTATAATCAAAATGTATTCATTTTTTTTTTTTTTTGGTACTGGGGATTGAACTCAGGTCCTTGAGCCTGTGAGGCAGGCGGCAGAACCACTGAGCTAAATCCCCAGCCCAAAATGTATTCATTTTCAATAGTGCGTAGTGACAGTTTTCAAACTTGTTGACCCCTTTACATTGTAGGAATTATTCAAGACTACAAAGAGTTTTTAAAATGTGGGTTTTAGGTAGATATAGACAGATCTGGATTCATTCTGTATTTCAAATCAAAACGGACAGATTTTTAAAACACCAGAATACACAAGCACATGTTCTATCCATCAGTAATTCATGATATCATCAAAGGTCAGGGAGCCTCAGGAAAACACTCTTGGAAGCTCATGAGAGAAGGAGAGTGCAAAGGGGCAAATAAGGTCTTGGTATTATTACAAAAATAGTTTTAACCCCACAGGCCCCCTGTTAAGGTCTTAGGGACCCCAGGGGACCAGTCTCACACTTTGGAAACTGTTACTGTATATTATTTCATGAAATCACTGCAACTTTCTTGCTGTTTCTTCCCTCTCCTCTGAACTAAATGTCTTTCCCAGGCCTGTCCAAAACCCTCCTGAGACCCTGGCAGCCTTCTTGCTGTGTGCCAGATCAAGACCTAGCTCTGTCCCTTTTCTTTCTGGATTTTAGTTTTCCTAATTAGAGAAATGAGGAAATGTGACTGGGTGGCCCCTGAGGTCCCTCCTTGTCTGGGACCCTCCATGACTCTACAATGCTCAGTCTATCACTCTAAGATTGGATTTTCAAAATTACGAGTCTATTATACTGAGCATATAATTTTTCAGGCCCAGATTGATTCTCTCTCTAATATTCTGTTACTTTATAGACGTCAGGTTCAAATCCCAGCTATTCAACCTACAGACCTGAGTGGCAAGTTACATAACTAATCTATGCCACAGTTCACAGTGCCCTCATCTTTCAAGTGAAGGTAATGACAAGGACTCATAAAAATACAAACAACAATAGTAAAAAAACAAAAACAAAACCATGTCCTTGGGTGGTTGTGAGGCTCAGATGAGATGATACTGTGTAGAGTGTTTAGAATACTGCCTATTGTTCCAGAAATTGTGGAAAGAAATACACGGAGACACAAAATTTGGGTAAAATAATAAAGTTTACTTTCAAGCAGGCGGACACTGACCAGACCAGTTTCTGGTGGTCCCACCTGCTTGCAAGCAAACTTTTATTATTTTACCTGAATTCTGTGTCTCCGTGTATTTCTTTCCGCGATTTCCAGAACACTATCACATAGGAAGAGCTGGGGTTGGCTAACATACTATCATCATCTACTCTTTTTTGTTTTGTTTTGTTTTTTTGAGACAGGGTCTCGGCATGCAGTTTAGGCTGGCCTTGAACTCATTGTACAGCCCAGGATGGCCTCAAACTTGTGGTGATCTTCCTGCCTCAGCCTCCCAAGTGCTGAGATTACAGGCGTGTCCCACCATGCCCACCTATTATCTAGTTTTAGGTCCCATATCACCACCACCAGCATCATCATTTTATCTCAACATCATCTTCATCACCGTCCTCACCATCATCATCATCGTTTTGTTAAAAGATCTTATGGCTCTGAAGTTCAGTGTTTCTAAGACTTGCTGTGGCTAAGATTCTATTACACTAAAGCTCTATGTTGTTTCATGATTTTGTTGTTTCTGGGGCCAGTGGTTCATCAATTCTAGTGTCCCGAGGCTTTCAGAAACTTTTGTCTCTTGTGTCTACAGAAGCCTAGCAGGCCTAATTTTCTTTCTCTTTTGGCCCCAGACCAGTGCAGGGAGGCACAGGGCTCACTTACAAGTGGCTTCAGTGGTCCGACGACTGTAGGACTTGCGGATGTGGTACCTGACCACCAGTTCACCTCTTTCTACTGTTGGTTCAAACACCTCCCTGGTGGAATGGGGAGAAGATGAGGGCAGGGCAGAACCATGTGGAACACCTCTTCCCACCAGTTGTGAACATAGGTGCCATCCTAGACCCAAGCCCTGCTGGTCCTCTCCTCCAACATTTGCTGAACGTGCCTAGGATTTCTGCTTTCTGCCTTTCATTCATTTGCCTGGCCTCACTGCCCTTTTCGTGATTCATGGCCACCTTTCCTCCTGAGGCAGCCTCCTCACTGGTCTCCCTGCCTCCTGCCTCTCCCTCCCAGTCCACAGATGCCACTCCATGTTGTTCTAACTCACCCATAGCGAGTCTCTTTCTTCCTCCGGTGGACAAGAAATAGGGCCAAGATGAGGACACAGGCAGCGGCCACAACTGCTCCCAGCAGTACATACCACCAGGGCCATGAGAAGGCAGGAGCGGGGGGTTCACTCACTGTCGGGGTATGGGGGACAGGTCATGGCTGGGATATTGGATCCAGTTCCCTGAGACCCAGGGAGTGATGTGTGAGGGAGGCAAAAGATGTAGGTGTACTGGGTAAGGTGTGTGATGGGCATTTCACCCATCCAAGGAAGGGCAGGACATGAAATGGAGGTGATATGTGTTAAAGCCGAAAGAGTGGGAAACTTGTAGGACAGATATTTGAGGAGTGCATTATGAGTGTGCAGAGAGTGGAATGGGGAGTCAGATGTGTCGGGAGTGGGTTACGATTGTGCAAGGAAGGAGGGAAGAACATGGGATGAGGGTGAGTAAATCCGAAGTAGCATGGGTGTGTGTGTGTGTGTGTGTGTGTGATGATTGTGCAAGGAGGGTGGACCTAGGTATGGAAAAACAGGTAAGTGGAGAAAAGAATCCCTGCAGCATAGGATGTGAGGCCTGTGCAATGAATGTGCAAGGAGAGTGAGTCTGGTGGACGAAGGACTAAGGAATATCTTGGGGGAGCGTCGAACAAGCACAGAAAGGTTTTCATAAGGTGAAAATACAAGTGAGATAAATGTGCAAAGGGCCATGGTGAGTGTGCAGCGTGGGATGGGGTGGGTGGTGAGGAGGGTGAGGCATGTGAGGAATGAGGAGTTCTACATACAAGGAGCCAGCAATGAGTTTTAAGGAGATAACTTCAGTGGGCAAGGAGTGTGCAGTGAACATGTAACCAATGTGAGAAGGGCAGGTGAGGAGTGTGGGAATGGTGTGCAAGGAGGGCAGGAGTGGAACGGAGCATAGAAGGCCATATGATGATTGTACAAACAGTTCATTTGTGTGTGCAGAGAGCAAGATGGGTTAGTGTTGGTGAGGGTGAAGGGGTGATATCTAAGGAATATGGGATGAGTGTGCAAGGGGAGTTGTGAGGTACAGGGTATGTTTTTCAATGTGGACTGTGTGGTGAGTGTGTACAAGGTGTATAGAGTTTGCACAAGAGCAGTGTGTGTGTGCAATGGGTGTAGGAGGCCTGTGTGAGGAGTGAAGGATTATAACAGGACATGCTTGGAATGTGAGTGGATGTGTGTTGGGAAAGTATGTGAAGAAATACAGGAAGGCATGTGAGAGGTATCTAAGGATAGTGGGTGGAGTTACAAAGGGAGGACAGAAATAGTGCTAGGAAGGTGCAATGAGTATAGGAAGAATGTCTGAGAATTGTTGGAGAAGTATTTGAGAAGGATGGATGTGAAGAGGACACCACATCCACCCATCCATCCATCCATCCATCCACCCACCCACCCACCGACCGACCATTCACTGAGTGCCTACAATGTACTGGGACTGGACCATTCTAGGCACTTCCATCAAGGACCACACAAACCCAAGAAGTAGAGCATTACAGTGATGAGTTTGAAAAGCACAAAAGTGGGTGTTGAGGGAAGGGAGGGAAAAGGGGGTGCCAAAGCCCTTACCCAGCTGGTGGACTGGCTGTCCTTGCCCTGTGAGGAGAAAGGACAGAGGGGAGACGTGCTCAGAGAGGGGAAGACTGGTGTGGCATAAGTGAGGGAGGCAGGGAGGCTCCTGCTAAGGCACAGGTAGGAACAGAGCTGAGGTCAGGGAGGAGGGACACTGAAAGGTACAGGGAACAAGTCAGGGACATCAGGAGCTGAGGTCCTTGTGGGTGGGCTGAAGGGGGCTGAGCAGGCTTTGCAGTTACCTGGGCGCCAGGGCTCCAGGGACACAGGGCGGCTCCAGGGACCATCGCCGGCAGCAGTGTAGGCTGCCACGGACACAGTCAAGTTAGGCACGGGGCCGTCCCTCCGCAGTTCCAGGGTCACTTCTCGCATTAGCCTTACGTCCATTAGCACCTAGGAGGTCAGAAGCGGAATCAGGGAGAACCTCAGACCCCTAAATTTTAAGTCTGCACCCTTGACCTCAGCTCCTCATCTCTTTCTCAGAACCTTTGCCTCTTCTTCCACCCGTCACCCCCTGCCCCTTCCTCTCTGTTCTTCATCTCCATTTCTCCATCCCCATGGGCACCAGAACCTGCTGCACCAGGCAGGGACTGTACAAGACCCATTCCCCACCATGTCCTCAATCCCTTAGTGCAGCACTTGGCACACAAGACTATGCAGCCAACACTAGGAACTGAATTATCTTTTTATCTTCACCTCTCTACCCCCTCTCACCTCCCATCCTGTCTCTCTACCAGCCCAGCTACTACCTTTGTGGAAATCAGGAAAAAGCACCCCTTCCTCAAGATGATATACAGCTGTCTACTGTAAAATGTTTAGCGTATGTAATTCCACAGAAATGCTTTTGCAATGGGTCATAAACAGCCATTCCCAACCTTCCTTTGGATTCCTTAAGCTCCCCAGAATATGCTTCACTAAGCATTGGTGCAACTGTATGGTACCCAACCTGCACAACTGTCCATGTCTGCTTTGCCATTTTCCTCTCCCCATCTCCCTCCTCTCCCAACCATTCCACCCCAACCCAGCCAGCAGCACCCACCTCAGGGGTGTCTTGGCCTCGATAAGCCAGCCGGTACCCTAACAGGGTGCCCTGCAGGGGTGCCCTTGGCTCCTGCCAACGCACGAGGACCTGGCTCCCGTTCCGCATGGCGCTAATGTTCTCAGGGGGGCCCAGGGGCACTAGAGGACAGGGAAGAGGGGAAGCTGGCACCCCCACCTCTTCCTGACCCTGCCCCTGTTCCCAGGAAGTGGGGGCAGGGTAGAAGGCACACTCCTGCAGGCCTCTGTGAGCAGAAGCTCAGCGGAGAGATCTGGGAGGGATGCCGGGGCAGCGGGGGTGTGTGGGTGTTGGGGAGAAGACTGAAGGGAGGCGAGGCCACATGGAATAAAGGGGTGAGAGGATGCTGGGGGCACTGATGCAAGTGAGCTCCAGCAGGGCGGTGGTGACAACCCCTCCCAGCCCCCTTACCTCCCTCTGGTGTCTCCACGGGAAGCCAGTGTGTCCAAGGCGAAGGGCCCTGACTGCTGGCACACGACACCCGGATGTGATAAGGGGTGTGAGGATGCAGGCTGCCCAGCCGAAGCTGGTGAGGGGGCACGGATGCTTGCAGGGTGAGGGGCTCCTCTGGGGGTTCTGGCTCTCCCAGCCAGCTGCCCACCCCATCGTCCGACAGCACAGCCTGAGGAGAGGAAAGGGCGTGAGGACAGGATGACCCCAAGGTCATCCACAGTAGCCACATGACCCTCGGTGGTGGTGTCCTAGCTGTGTGCATGTGCACGTGTATGTGTGCTGCAGCTGCAGGTTAGGACAACATGGATGCCTGGATTTATAAAGCAAGGAAATCATACAGCTGTGTGACATGCACAGTCAAAAGCCACCTCTAGCCAGCCATGGGGACTGAATTCAGGACTTTCACACTGAGCTACAACCCCAGCCTTTAAAAAAAAAACAACTTATTTTGACAGGGTCTGGTTAAATTGCTAAATTGTTCAGGCTGGGCTGGAATTGGCAATCCTCCTGCTGGGATTACAAGTGTGCACCACCATGCCCACACACTTTTTTCTCTCTTTGAGCCTCAGTTTCCCCATGTGGAAAATGGAGGATAAGACACTCAAATGCCTTAAAGGGTTGTTTAAGGATTAAATGTATGGGCTGGGAGCCAGGTGTGGTGGTACGCATCTGTAATCCCAGGACTCTGGAAGACAGGCAGGAGGATTGCAAGTTTGGGCACTTTAGCAACTTAGCAAGACCCTGTCTCAAAATAAAAAATAAAAAAGGGCTTGGGGTGTAGCTCAGTGTGAAGGCCCTGGGTTTAATTTCCAGTACTACAAACAAACAAACAAACCCTCAAAAAACTGTGTGCCTCTCCCCTAATGGGGATTGAACTCAGGACCTTGCGCTTGCAAGGCAGGTGTGGAGCAGCTAAATCCCCGGCCCAAAGTATGCCTTTACTGACATCATTCTGAGCCCTTCACAAATCTGAATTATTTTGGGGGGTGGGGTGGGGGGGTGATGGGCATCACACCCAGGGCCTTGAGCATGCAAAGCACACGCTCTACCACTGAGCTGCCCCTCAGACTGAGTTTGTTTGATTCTCACATCAATGCTGTTGTGCGCAGTAAGTGCTGTGCTTATGTCCATTACACTGAGGCCTGGACACATGGACTCCAAAGTCATCAGTTTGTCACCGATGAAGGGGGAACATGACTTCCTGTCTCCAAATCCTCTGCTCTACTTACAGTGAGAACATCAACAATAGCACCAATGCCTCTTATCTGTCCAAAAAGGCAGGGGAGGTTAGTACTGAAGAACATGGGTGCTGGCTCTCCCACTCCTCAGGGATGTGCCTCAGGTTCCTCACCTTTAAAATGGAATGGTCAGGTGTGGTGGGGCACACCTGTAATCCCAGCACTGAGGGAGGCTGAGGCAGGAGGATCACCATGAGTTCAAGACCAGCCTGACTGCATAGCAAAACCCTGTCCCCACCCCCCCAAATGGAATGATGATAGTGGCTCCCTACTCTACAGGGCTTGTTTAGAAGGGTGCCTGTGCATATGCAGTGTGTGTCTTTGTCATTGTCTGTGTGTGCACGGCTGCTTGGAATGCACACCCTGCACAGAGACACCCCCTCTTGCACACCCAGCTACTCCCCAAGACGTGACAATCAGGATGGAGGGGACCGTAGCTCTACTATGTGGAACCACAAAGCTACAACTGTAAAACTCACAGCCACACATCTCAGGAGCACTGCTGCCAGGACCTCGCCTTTACCTTGGAGATCCCAACCACACTGCTACATGGTATGTTGGCTTGCACAGTATTGGCTGCACGACAAAAGCTGTTTCTTACCCAGCCATGCCTGTAATCCCAGCACTTACAGACAGAGGCTGAGGCAGGAGGATACAAAGTTTGAGTCCTGCCAGGGAAACTTAGTGAGACTTGTCTCACTAAGACAAGGGCTGGGGAGGTAGCTCAGTGATAGAGTACCCTTGGGTTGTTTGATCCCTACTAGTGCTGAGAAAAAAGAGAGAGAGAGAGAGAGAGAGAGAGAGAGAGAGAGAGAGAGAGAGGGAGATTCTTTTTTTTATTTTTTTGTTTTTTATTTTTATTTTTTTGGGGGACTGGGGATCGAACTCGGGACCTTGCGCTTGTGAGGCAGGCGCCAGAACCACTGAGCTAAATCCCTGGCCCGAGAGATTGATTCTTAACATCTCTGAGTCTCAGTTTCTGTCACTAGAAAAGAGGCCTCAGAGTCCTACCTGTCAAGGTGCAAAGCCTAAAGACACAATGCATGTAAACAGGTTGGCATATCATACTCTTAATAGCTAATATTTTTTTTTGTCTTGACACAGAGTCTCACTATGTAGTTCAGGCTGGCCTTGAGCTCACTATGTAGCCCAGGCTGGCCTTGAACTTGTGGCCATCATCCTGCCTCAGTCTCCTGAGTGCTGGGATCACGGGTGTGCGCCACCACCCCAGGCATTACTAACATTTCTTGAGTGCCAAGTGTGTGTCAAGCTCCCTGTCAAGCACGTTCTTGGATGAACTCACTGACTTTTCATAATATCCCATGGGCTCGATTTCCTTTCTCATGCCCATTTTACAGAAGAAAAAGAAGCTGAGGCCCAGAGGCTACATAGCTCGCCCAAAGTCACACAGCCCCCAAGGGGGAGGAGGACACCATCACATGACCCAGGGAGAAGGTGGGCGGATGGTGGGTAGTGGAAGGGGTGAGGCTTTCTGCATGCCTGCTCTCTGACCCACAGTGACAGATGGGAAGAGGAACCTCTCTGCCAGGACAAAGGGGAGATGGGTGCAGACAGTGGGCTCATGCCCACTCCCACTTCTCTTTTTCCTGGGACGGCCATGGTCCTCCTGCTGGAGCCCTTCAGCCCCAGCCCCCTCACAGCAGGAAGTGAGATCTGGAGAGGGAAGGGGACACACTTCTGCTTTCCTGGGGGGCCTTTGATGGGTGTGGGTGGGGGTGCAGCTGACGCCTGACCTGCCATTTGAGGTCTCCCAAATCAGGCTAGCCTCGGGGATTGAATCTCAGCTTTACCCTTCCAGCCACGGGGGATGGAACAGGTCCTTTTCCTCCTCTGGGTCTCAGTTCCTTACTTGGAAAAGGGCAAGAAGAACAGCTGTTGTATTCTAGGGTGAAAGTGACAAGCAGATATGCCCAGGGTAAGTGTGAGAAGCAGTTTCTGTGGCCCAGAGTGTCGCTTAGTGATATGCTGATTGCCTACATGTGTGAAGCCCTGGACTGCATCCCCAGCACCACATTAAAACAAAACAAAATGAGGGCCGGGGATTTAGCTCAGTGGTTCTACCGCCTGTCTTGTAAGGTCCCGAATTCGATCCCCGGTACCAAAAAAACAAAACAAAATAAAAACCCAAAATGAAACAAAAGGAAGAAAAGCAATTGCTGCTGAAGCACTGGTTCCAAATGGCCTCTATGAGGTCAAGAGCACTGCTGGGACTGGTGAGACAGGGCTCAGATCTTACCTCCGCTACTTCCTGCCTGTGACTTTTGGTGAGCTGCTTAATTACTTGGAGTCTTAGTTTCTTCATCTGGAAAATGGGTCTATCCATAGACTGTCCTTCACAGACACACGAGGAAATGTGCAGAAGGCCCAGCACACAGTTAACACTCCAAAGAAGTTGGTCATTATTGACAATGTCACCTCACATTACAGACGCTGTCCAACCCTCACCTCCAACTTCCCAATTTCAGAGAGCTTTGGATGTGAGCTTTGTGTTTGCAGGGCTGGGTGATTCATTTCTGTTTGTTTTTGTGTTTTTCTTGCTCCACCACAGGAGCAACTTCAGTGCAGAGGTTAGGTCTAGCTGGCCTTAGTCAGAAAACAACCCCACTGTCTGGCCTGTGCTAGGCCTTAACGAGGAGCCAGTGTGACAGACAGCTCTGGCCCCACCCTCACATGGGCCACAGACCAGTGGGGGACAGACTCACCCCACACAGTGACAACCCAGAGTGGTCAGGGCTGAGATGCAGAAGTACAGAATTGTGGATGCCCAGTGGGGACAGAAACAGCTCCAGACCCTCATAGACATCTCCTTTGTTCCAGATACTAAGTTTGCTACGTGCATTTACTCATTTAATTCTCAAACAAGCTGATCAGTTAATTGCTATCACTGTGCGCATTTTATAGATAAGAGAACTGAGGCCCATAGAGACTAAGTCACTTCTCAAGTTCATACAATCAGCAGGTAGCAGAGTCAGGATTTGAATCCAGGACATCTGGCACAAACCTAGGATCTGTTACCTCTCAACACACCACTGGCCTGGAGGGGCAAGGATAGGTATTGCATTTGTGGGTAGACTGAGGTGATCAAAGTCAGAGGATCTCACCTGTAAGGTGCAGTGAGTGAGAGGGTAGATGCCACTCAGGCCAGGGGACCAAGCCACCTCCAGTTCCGTGGGCTGGCTGGAAACCAGGTGGAGGTCTCGGGGCTGTTGGGGGAGCACTGTGGACAGACAAGAGGAGTGCGTGATCCTGGGGGACTTTTGCCTAGAACTCCTCACCCTGCCCTCTGCCTTCTGCTCTGGCCAGGCCTTCACACACCCAGTTTCCCCAACCACTTTCCATTACCTGTGATGGTGGCCGTGCGGGATGTGGTGACCCCCTTGGCATTGTGGGCTTCACAGGAGAAAGAAGATGTCTTGTTCAGGCCTAGGGAGCCATATGAGGGAGGAGCCAGTGTCAAACAGAGGAAGGACAGACTTTTGGCCAGGCTGGGCCACTCCATCATGGCCAGCAGGACAGTGTCAGGCCAGCCTATCTGGGTATAACGAGGAAGTGTGGGGCACAAAGGGGAGGGGAATACATTAGGAACAGACCCTGACCCCAATTATATGGACAGGCCCATGGCCTCAGCTCTACCCTCCCTCCATACATATAAGGCACACACTCAGAACACACTGAACACACACACACATACACGCATGCACTCACACACTGTTACATCCAGAGACACACAGAGCTACACAGAAACACACATGTTCATGTATAGATCAGAGAAACATGCAAACTCATGTGTATGTACAGAGACATTTATATTGGCTTATGCAGACAGGCCGACGCACATACACCTAATAGACACATACCTACAGATGTGAATGTGTGTCAAGGTATAAGGGTTTGCTCTTCCTCCCAAACCCTCTCCTCCTAGCATAGTCTGTTCCCACCACACTGGCCTCTTGGTGTTTCTGGAACACACACACACGCACGCGTGCAGCACGTTCCCGTCCGGGGAACTAAGCACCTCTGTTTCCTGTGCTTGGAAGTCTTCCCACAGATGTCCACACAGCTCGTTCTCTCCCTCCGTTGTGTTTGATTCTAAACAACACCGCTGCTACGCGGCTCCTGACCACCCTGTGTAAAATGGGGACCTCCCCTCCCTATCTGTCCCCAGTCCTGCTTGCTGTTCTCCTGGGCTCTTCTCAGCAGCCGCAGCATGCTTTCCATGTGGCCCAGGTGTCCTGTTCATGTGGGTCTCCTCCACCAATGTCAGCTCCAGGGGCCGAGTTTGTGTTGCTAAATGAGCGAATGAATATGTGTGTGTGTATCTGTGTCTTCATGAGCGTTTCTGAGTGTGTTTGTGTGTAGAAATGTGTGCATGTACAATTCCATGAGCAAGCCAGTTAATGTATATACCTTGAATAACTGTTTTTGGGTGTCCAGGAGTGGATTTCGTGTCCATGTGTTTGTGCCTCTTGTGTTTGTGTACTTGTATGCACCAGTGTGTGTGCGCACATCTGTGTCACCGCCACCATGAATGCACACCTAAGGGTGCATGCAAGAGACAGAAATGTAAACACATAGAGACACAGCACTCACAGCTACACAACTTACGCGGACACACAACGTGGCTGTGACAGGATGTGAGGGGACCCAGTCATCAGTCGGGGCCCTGCATGCTGTGTGCGCGCCTGGCTTTATGAGCCCATGAGCCTGCGGCCTGGGTGGAGCCGCAGCCGCGGTGTGCTTGTGCAGTGCCTGCGGTATCTGCGTTCCCACCACCTGGCTGGTTTGCGAGGGCGGCCTTCAACCACAGACACAAAATTTCCTTTCCTCCTTCAGCTGTAGCGGAGAAGCGAGAAGGGCAGAGTGGCTGAGGCCGGAAGGGGGAGGGCAGGTGCCCGCCCCGCAGTCCTACAGTCCCCGCGCGGGGCCGGGACCGGGCAGCCTGGGCAGGTGGCCGATCTGGGCGGGCAGCTGGGCTGCATCCAGCCACCTGGCACGTGGGGGCCCCGCCAGGGTCACTGCGCGGGAACTGGCGCCCCGGGCAGGGCAGCCCGGGGCGGGGCGGGAGGGGGTTCTGGACCGTGGTCCAGTTACGACCGACCGCAGCATTCCTGCCCCCGCGTGAGTCACCCGCGCCTCCCCACCCCGAGGCACTTCCGGCCGGCCAGTGCCGGGGAGGCTCCAGGGACCCCCTTTCCCAGCCTCCCAGCCCCCCAGGGACTGGACCTTGAGTGAAGGGCACAGGAGGTACCAAGGTGTGAGGGACTCCTCCCCTGCAGCGGGCTCTTGCCCCACGACTGAAGCCTGTGGACCCCAGATGTGCTTTCCAGATGTTCTGCACCACCTCTCCCATCCGCTCCCCCCCCCCCTTGCTTTTCCAAGGGAACAAGAGGGATGGAGGGAGAGAGGGGGCACGCCCTGAGTCAGATAGAGGGACAGACCCAAGAACTGACAGAATTCCTTCACAAGACACCCCCCACACAATGAATCACATTTAAACACACAGGGCCCCTTATTAGCACAAATATGCACTCGGACAACACACCTCTCACTAAGCCACAACGCATAGGGCTGATGCTGCCCTAAGCACACAGTGACACAAACGCACAGTGACTTACTGGTAAACACACGGGGCCTACACTGGTGTACATACACAGAGACATACATGTCCACTAATGAGTCAGTGTTGGAACACACGCATAAATACAACCATGTGTGCAGCAAACACCTGGCAACAACATGACATACACAGGAAACTGATGCTGACAAACCTTGCTGCATGTTGGGATACTCACACTACAGAGCAAAAAGATGTTGAAGTTGAAGGGGACAAAGAGATACACACCGCGACACAGGAAAGGTAGTGTTGACTTGTTCCCACACAAACACAAACACACAGCCAGGCCTTCCTCAGCACCAAAACACAGCTGGGCATGCTCAGGCTGCTTCATGTCCACTGAGATGCAGATTGATACAAACCCACAGTTGTGTAGACACACAGGCCTACTTTGGACAGGGAGGGAGTCACTGCCACATATGCACAGGTTGACACAAATGTGCAGGTGCACGCCGATTCATGGGCACCCTAGTGTTGACCACCAAGAGGCAGCCAAGGCTGATACACACACAAGGGGAGCAGATGGAGGCAGAAGATGTTGTCACTGTCCTGCTGCGAATCTCAGTCGCTCTTTCACATACACACTGGGACCCAGTTTTCCATGGTGACAGTCACATGCCTACACTGTCACCCCATGACATACACACACAGGCTACAGAGACATCCACGGACACACAGGTACAGACATTTGACAGCTGATAAGAAACATACCAACATCCACGGACACATCCTGATTCTATGGGGAACAGGAGCCCATACCTGGACACACACTGTGAGGTGCACACCTGTGAGCTGACACTGTCACCTCCATGTAGACGGAGGTGTGCAAAACAGCCACAAAACCTACTGTTAGGGCCACTGGCGGCGGAACCACTGAGCTAAATCCCTGCCCCCGCTCCACTCTTACACAGTGTCAACACCTACGAACACAAAGAGAGACCGATACAGCCTGACACCGTACTCAGTGATTACACACACAAACACAAACAGACCTCCACAAAGCTGACCCTTGCTAAGGCACACTTTCATACAGAGGTTGATGGTGATGGATATATGGACTCACAGATCCAAGTGGACAAAGATGTATACCAAGACCCCTGTGTATGTGGTATGTGTGTGTCCCTCTATCACTACACATCACACACAGACCCTCTCACACCTGCACCCCTATTTCTCCCCCTGCTCCTCTCCCAGATCCTGCCAGGCTGACTCAAACCCCATCCCTGTCCCTACTAGGCTACTGGAGCCATGGGCCTGAGTCACCCCTCTGGGGGCTGGTGTGTTCATCACTGCTTCCTTGCACACTCAGGGGCCCTGGAATGTGGGCATGTCCCTCCACCCCAGGAGACTCCTCTGCACCCCAGCAAAGGGGGGCAGCAGATCAGAGCTTGGGAAACCGGGCTCTTCAGGGTTCAGCAGCCTCCTCTGACTGAGCTGCCCCAATTTGCGTGCCTCTGTCTCTCCTCCCTCCACAAGGGAAAGCCTCGTGTCCAGGCCGTGTGACCCTTAGCAAGGTGCTGGGTCTCAGCGGTACAGAGGGGAAGGTCACCCTGAAGGAAGGGCTTATACCACTCAGACTCCCTGTCTCTTCTCTCTCCATCTTGGGTCACTTCTGTGACCTGTCCCTTCCTGTGTCTCTTGTCCTAACCTCTGTGATTGTCTTTCTCTGTCTCCTGTCTTCTTTCTTCTTTGGGCTGTGGCCCCCTTGACAGAGGCCAGCAGATCTCTTCAGGGCAGGCGGTAGGAGGAGGGGGCAGGAGAGTTTGGTTCCAGGGCCCTGTTTGGGTCAAAGGCTGACAGGGGGGCACCAGTCCCACACACTTGGGCCACGGAACAGCTCAGAGAAAGTTCGGAACAAAGAATGCTATTCAGAGAGAGGCTGGGCTAAATGGCAGGCGAGAGAGGCAGAGACAGAGAGACAGAAAGACAGAGGTACACACAGTGAGAAAGCAACGGAGAGTCAAGGAAATGGAGAACAGGCAGACTGAGGTGGAGAAAGGTACATGGAGAGAAATGAGTGAGGTGGAGACTCACACAGACAGAGGGCAGAGCAGAGAAACATGCACAGGCAGCAGGAAAGCCCAGACATCTCACCTGCTTGATCTTCTCCAAACACCTGGCCCAAATCCCAGACTCACCTGGAACTTGCAGGCTGTGCTGGGGGCTGTGGCCCAAGGATGGGGCCAGGGGGACAGCATCCTGGAGCCAGAGTAGGCGCACTGGTTCTGGCGGTCCCTGGGCCCAGCAGCTCAAGTTGAAGGGTGTGTTGGCGGCTACAGTCCGGCCTTCAGGCTCCTCCAGGAAGTAAGGGAGGCCTAGGGCAAGAGCGGTGACAGAGGCTGAAGTCCCCCTGAACCTCCCAACTCTCTGACCCTCCAAAGCTGGAGGCTTTGGATACCAGACCAACTCTGTAAGGTCTTTGATCTGCTCCCCGCTGATGTCTGGTCCCCAAGGACATCTGAGTCTCCTTTAGATGTCTGACTCCTCAGACCTCTGTCCTCAGAGCACATGACTCCAGTATATGATTCTCCTCGCCCAGCCCTCCCAGTAGATCTGGGCCCCTCATGTCTCTTTCCCACAATGTGTGACTTGCCATTTCATTTTACTGATGAAGAAAGTGAGGTCCCTAGGGGGAGATGAGGGAGGGTTAAGTTATGTGCCTCTGATTCCCAGAATGTCCTACCCCAGCATGCCTGACCCACAGATCAAATCACCCCCAAGATATCTTTCCCCCAGCACATATCCTCCCTGATCTGCTCCCCCATAATTATGGACCCCTAGCTTCCAGACTCCCTGAGACCTCTGACATCCCTGGGCTATATGTCTCCAGGGGATGCCCTGAATCCCTAGTGCCCTGTGACCTCAGGACTCACCTTCCAGCCCTACATAGCCAGGCTGGGACATAAAGTTCTGTCCTCTCAGGTCCACGGCACATTGATACCACCCCACATCCACAAGCTGCAGGGAGGAGATGCTAATGGAGCAAGAGGAGGAATGGAGAGGTTCCGGGTCAGAGCTGGACACCTGGAGGGGTCGGCAGAACTGAAAGCGGGGGACAAGAACCTCATAGAAAGGATGACATACGAACTATTTTTAACTCAGTTTACAGAAGATAAAAATGAAACATGTCACAAGTTCCAAGCCACATGGCCAGCAAGTGTTCAAGACGGGAACCCAACCCAGGTGAGGCTGTGTGAGGGAGGGGGCGGGGTCAGGGTTTGGGGTGTGGCTGGTCGGGGAAAGAAGCTGGACACCTGAGTCGGCTGACCACTTTCCAGTCATCTTGCCAGTCTTCACCCAGGGGCACCTGGATTTGAGTGCTGTCCGCCAGCTCTAAGACCTGTCCATCCCGAAGCCAGTTCACCTCGGGGGGCTCCCCCCGAACCTTGAGCTCACATCGAAGGACCGTGGTGATTCCCCGGGAACCGGTGACGTTCCCTGGGCTCTCCACAAAGGGGTCATCGACCTCGGCCTGTGCTCCTGTGGGGAGGATGGGAAGGAGTGAGGTTGGGAATCTCAATTTCCCTGGCTCCTCAACTCCATCCTGTCTCTGCCTGCCCACCAGCTGCCCAGACCCCCCCAGGCTCTTAGGCCCACATAGTTGCAGAGTGACCTCAGAGAGGGTGGAGGCCTGGGGGAGGATGGGAGTCTTCCCAGGGGACTGAGGTCCAGCATCCATGCGTCCGTTGGGAAGTAGGCCCAGGATCTGGCAGCCTCCCACGCTCTGGATTGCCTGGCAGGGCCAGTGCCTGCCCTTAGTGTCTCTAGAGATTTAACAGATTGGGCTCGTGGATAGAGGGGAAAAAAAGGGATGGGAAAGGAGAGACAGAAGTTAGACATGGGGTGAAAGAGAGGAACAGAGATAAAAGAAGAGATAGAAAAAGAAACACCCCCTAAGAGGAGACTCAAGGGGCAGAGTAGTCCCAGAGGGAGACTGGAAGGGGGGACTCTTAGAGAACAGGCAGTGATAAAGACAGAGAGGAGATGGGGGAGAAAGAGAGAAAGGAGCCCCACAGAGATGTTAAGCTGGAGGTAGAGACAGAGACAAAGACAGAGACCCTCGTTGTCAGAGGTGGAGCAGGCTGTGGTAAGAGAAAGATGGGGGCTGACGGTGGCGGGGGAACCCCAAGCCCCCCGAGTGCTCCTCATCCCGCCTGCCTGGCGTGGGGCTCCTTTGGGGAAGATTCCCACCTACCCCGGCCCAGTCCCTCTCCTCAGGGCCCAGACTCAAGTCCTGTGCCCAGCCCTCCCTCAGGCCCTCAAGTCGCTGTCCCTGTGTCCATCTCTTCCGTCTCTGGACCTCTCAGTTTCTGTTTCTGGTCCTTCTGTTCCTTTCTCTTTCTCTCCCGCTGCCTCTCTCAGTCTGTTTCTCCTGCTCTCCCTTTTTCTATGTCCCTCTGTTGTCCCAAGGAAACTCCCTAAGCCTGCCCAGCTCCCCACCCCCCAACACCTGCCATCCATCCCCCACCTCCCCTCCCCACTGCCCTGGCCCCAGGAAGGAGCCCCCAAGGAGCCCCCATCACTCACCCTTGGGGACCATGAAGCCCCAAAAGCACAGGGCCAAGCACCAGGCCAGTGGAACCCTGCCCATCCTCAGGCACCACCACGTAGTCGATGCCAAACTTTTCTCCCGAAGTTGCTGGGCACGTCGCAGGGGAGGGGGCAGGGCCGGGCTGTTCCCAGCCCTCCCCCTAGCTCCGGGCTCCTCTGATTTGGCACTGCCCACCTGGCACAGCAAGGGCCCCTTGGCAGGCTCCGCTTGCTCCTCCGAAGTTGCCTTCCTGGCTCCCCAGCCTCCTCTCCCTCCTAGACTTTGGGCAACACTTTCCCCGCCCAGGCTCCCTCTGCCTCCGCCCACCCGGCCTGGCGCCCAGGGGGCCACCTGGACAGCGAAGGGTTAATGTAATGCCGGGAGGGGAGGCGAAGAGGACCAGCCCTGTCTTAAAGGGACCTTGGAGGGAGGCTGGGAAGGGGGAAGGGTTGCCTGGTGGCGGCGCCCCCAGTTGGGCTCGAGGCTGTGTGCCTCTCTGTCAGACTGGGGGCGCTGTCCCTCTGGGCTCTCTGGGACTGGTAAACATTCTCCAGAACTCCACTCCCCTCCAGCCAGTGCTGCCCCCTCTCCGCCTCCACCCCCCAGTCCAGCCCCAGGCAGGCCTGTGGGGCCCTTCCCTCCCCCTCACACTCAAGGCTCCTTGGACAAGGACACATGGACACACACACACACACACACACACACACGCACACTCAGATGGCATAGACAACACAGACAGAGGCTGGGACGGGCAGAGACACGCTGGGGCACATGGCCAGCCCACGGACATCCTCAGACAGGTCGGGTCAGGAGCTGCCTCCTGGATTGACCTCAGTGATGGAACTTCACTGCCGGGAGGGCGTCAGGGTTGGGGGAGGCACTCAGGCAGGGAGACACACAGATGCTCATACACACCAGAACCCACTAGGATGCAGAAGCAGACACCAGTGTATGACTCAAACTCAAGAGGTCACCGCCACCCCAGGTTGTAATCCTGTCTCTACTGCTAAGGGCAGGCTCTGGCTAGTGACTGACCTCCTGCTTGGTTCTCAGTGTGTCTATCTGTAAGATGGGAGTAAGGGTGGATTTGTGTCACGGGCTCGTGAGAGGATGGTCTAGGTTAAAGTGTGTGTGGCTTCTTGCACGTGGTGATGACAGCTGACAAGTTTCCTGTGAGGTTTGACATTTCATCTCTGTCCCAGCACTTCCCCTCTGCTCTCTTCCCAGCTGGACTGTGCATCCGGGTCCTTGCAGATATGAGGCCTGGGTATCGGCTTGACTGCATGTCCATTTCTGTGCCCTGTGAGTTTAGCTCTGTATAGACAGTCTGTGCAGGAGGAGGCTGGCATCCTTTCTCTGCATCACAGAGTCCTATCCATGTGGCTTCCTGATGTTCCTGCGGCCCCTCTACTCTTGCTTTCCCACCACATTACCCAGCTAACATCAAGAGAGATGTTTCAGAGACCAAATCTGATCCTGCCCTTGCTTAGCTGTAGCTCCTCACTGCCCTTCAGTTGATGCCTCAGTCCTCAGCTGGCTGTTCGGGGACCTTCTCTATTAGCTCTGGGGCTCTCTCATTTGTGTCTCCCCTTGGTGATGGCTCCAACATCCATCCTGCCACCCAGGCCTGAGCTCTGGGGTCCTCCTGGACACTGCCCACCCTGCAGTCACCCGGTGGACGATTCAGTTTCGGAGACCTCCTTCTCACCAGCCTCTTGCCTCTCCCCACAATGCCACCCTGGCCCAGCCCAGTCCTCTCCTGCCTGGACCCCAGCTCTGGCCTCATCCCCGGGCTGGGATTCTCTATCCCTCCCTCCAGCTTGTGTCCCACTCAGCAGTCAGAGGGATGTTTCCCAGTCCCAATCAAACCTTTCCTTATCCCATTCTGAACTTTTCAGACAAAGCCCCAAACTCTTTACTGAGGCCTACAAGGACCCCCTCATATTCACCTGACCCACCCCTCCCCCTCCTTCTGTATCTTTTCTTTTCTCGATGGAAGACCCTCCTCCTGCTGCTCTTTGTCCCCAACTTCTACACAACCCTCCTCAGGCACATCTATTGTCCCATCACACTGTTTCACTGCCAGACTCTTCTAGGTCTACATGTTGTTTACCTCCAATGTCCTGTTCTTCTCCTTTCCTTTGGCATCATTTTGCATGGGTTGTTTTTATAGGTTTATTGGCACTGTTATGTCTGTCTCCTCCTGCTGGTCTGTGGGAGGGAAAGGATTGGGTTTATCTTGGTCGCTGCTACATCTCTAGTGTCCTATAAAAGACCTGCCGGAAAGGGACAATTAATAATTGTGGCATTTGGGGGTACAAATATGTGCAGAGGACTGCCCTCTTCTTTTTTTTTTGGTACTGGGGATCAAACTCTGGACCTTGCACTTGCGAGGCAGGTGGCAGCACCACTGAGCTAAGTCCCCAGCCCTTCTGCCCTCTTCTTTAGGTACACTGGAGTCTCTACCTACTTTAAGTTCAGTGGATCCAGTGTGAAACAACCTGTGAACTCATTCACTCATGAACTATTTGCTAAGCTTGGCTCAGTGGTAGTTACAGCTACTCAGGAAGCAGAGGCAGGAAGATCTCAAGTTCAAGGCTAGCCTGAGCATTTTAGCAAGACTTTGTCTCAAAATAAAATGTAGACAAGGCCTAGAGGTGTAGTTCACAGGAAGAGCACTTGCCTAGCATACAATAGGTCTTGACTTCAATTCCTAGTGTGGAAGCAAGCAAACAAAACCCCTATTTGCTGAGTACCTACTATGTGCCTACAATTTATTTTGAAATATATTTTATTTATTTATTTATTTATTTTTTGAGACAGGGTCTCACTGTGTAGTCCAGGCTGGTGTTGAACTAACTATATGGCCCAGGCATGCCTCAAATTCATGGCAATCCTCCTGCCTCAGCCTCTTAAGTGCTGGGGTTACAGGTGTGTGCCATCACACCCCTCCTTGAAATGTATTTTTAAAAAATGAAGCCAGATGTGTTGGTGAACATCTGTAATCCCAGCAGCGAGGGAAGCTGAAGCTGGAGGATTGCAAGTTTTGAGTCTTGCCTGGGGAACTTAGCAAGACCCTGTCTCAAAACAAAAAGTAAAAAGAAGCAGAGGAGGAGGCTTCTGGGTTGACATGCCACAGCTCCCAGTGCAGAGTAGGAGGCTTCCAGGCCATCCTACCACAGGTCCCAGCACAGAGGAGGCTTCCAGGTTGACTAGCCACAGCTCCCAGTGCAGAGTAGGAGGCTTCCAGGCCAACCTACAACTGCTCCCAGCACCGAGGAGGTGAGCTGCATGGGCACCAGCAGCACGCCCCCCCCGTCAAAATGAGAAGACACACAAACAAGCCTCAGAACCAGACTTCCAGGTCATCTACAGCAACCCCAAAGGGAAACGAGATGGAACACTCTGATATTCAACCACCCTGGACTCCCTGAAATGGCAACAAAAGAGGATCTGGAAAAAATGAAATCAGAAAAAATTTATCCAATAACAGCAGAAATTGTGCCCATAGTGCAAGACATGATTAATAAATCTAGAGAAGACACAGATAAAAAATAGAACCAAGGACAGAATTTCAGATATAGAAGATAAGATTGCAATTAGTGACCAGGAAAAGAAAAATTGCTTCAAAATTGTAAGGGACCATGAGAAATCAATCCAGCAGCTGCTAGATGATGCAAGGAAGAATAACATAAGACTGATTGGAGTTGATGAAGAAACAGGATAGGGTGCAGATGACATAAAAAAACTGTTCACAGAAGTAATCGCAGGAAACTTCCCAAGCAGGGGAAAAGAACTTGACATACAGATAAGTGAGGCATACAGGACTCCAAATAGCCTTGATAAAAAAAATGTACACATAGGCATATAATAGTTAAGATTCCAGAAACCCAACAGAAGAACAAAGTTCTACAAGCAGTTAGAGAAAAGAAACAAATCACATACAAAGGAAAGTCCATCAGAATCACAG